CGCTTCTGTCCCGATGGTGTATCTTCCACAATTTTGAAATACACTTTCACTTGCAAAAGATGGCGACACCTACTACTTCGAACGCAATGTAGACGAATATACAAATCGTTTGACTTTGAAACGACTTCAAAGAATTCTACGTCTACTAGAACTTCGTCAGGATTTGAACAGCTAATCACCGATGACGAGCTGTGCAGAGACATCAAAAGATTAGGATACTCGCAAGAGTTAACTAATCCATCTCAGTTCAAAAAAAGATTTCTTCCGTCAATATGGCACTTATTATTTTCTATCCACAATCGGTGCCTAACATCCAGGACTGTCGGAATTAATACCTGCAGCAGTCCATTCCTAAAGTTCTTTCACGACATTGTATTCACGCGTCGTTACGATTACGCACTTATCATTTAGAATGAACTAATCGAGTTGGTCAATGCCAAACGATTCCCATCAAAAGCAAGAAAGTTTGTACCATTTCAGAGATTTCTACAACTTATAATCAAAGCCATGATGAACGCAATCGATGACATTCCAGCCAGGGTAGACAGTGAAGTTGGGCCATCGTTCGTCATGTTACGTATTCGTCAACATACTGAAGTTGAAGATTTGGATTCCATAATGGAAATCCCACCTGAGTTATTTTCCTACGCTGATCAGAGTGCTTAGTGTGTAATAGATCATAGAAGAGTGATAGATGCTATAGGTCAACCAGAACCGGTTGAACTTACCCCGGGATCAACCCATGCCTTAGTTGAGGGAGAGGGTTTAGACATAGCTGAGAGAGTTCAGGAACACGGGTTACCTGAACAGGGTTGTGAGCTGAGAGAAAATGTAATTGAGAGGGGTAATCTGGAGTGGGGAGACTCTGATCAACATAGTACTTCAACCGACAGTACTTCCACAGCTTCCCTCTTCAAGCTCGGAAGATACTACATCTGATGATCAGGCAACTCAGGGTGATGCTGATAATGATAATGATAATGAGGACCATAATGATGGTGCTGATAATGCTGCTCATCCTATGGTTTCACATAATATTCAAGTGGGAGAAGTTATTGAAAATATTGAAGAAATATTTTCTGATAATCAAGATCAACAGACTTGCCCAAGTCTTCATTCTTTATATTTTAATGTTGATGATTTTGGTGATAACTACGATGATCTGCATCGTTTACTAGATGATATTTCATTTGAAGGAGATGAGGGCATACAAGTTCAAAATATTGAGAGGTTGAGTGAAAGGGAAGGAGAAAAATATGGTGAGAATGTGAGTGGAGCTCAAAATGAAGAAAATGCTCCTATCCCAGCTGATACAGTTAGTCGGGCACCCATATCTGCTAACGACATTCATTTGTTGAATGATGGTATTGAAATAGACATAGCTATCCCAGCTATACAATTGCACACCCCTCCCAGCCACTCAACTACTTCTCAACAAGTAGTTGTTTCATCTTCTCACGAGGATTTAGCATATAATCTATCTTCTTCTCAATCGGAAAATGTAGAAATTAAAGATAGTAAGCCTCTGTCCCATCCTACGACATTGATTCTGTGCACCTCGAGTCTAGAGCCGATACACTTAGGTACACATGAGTCGAGAGCATCTGTTGCTCAAACTGCAGTTCTTAGTGAATGTCACACCCCGCTAAAGTGGAAACACGAGGTATGGCAGGTAGAGTCTCATAGCAATAGAGTATAAAGAAACACAACCATACATTTAAAATTTAATTACACCAATTAACCAAAGTTTACAATTTCCAAAGACAAGTTTGCAAATTAAACACAAAAAGAAATTTAAAGGTGATAGTTGTGACAC